GGTTCAGAAATAAAAATATTTTCTATATTTTGTCATAATTTTAGCAGCGCTTACCAACATCTGCCTGGCACAGTGACTAGTAGGCTACAAGGCAGAATTTTAAAATTCCTATCCATAAAGTGGAGTTGTTAGGTTTGAGTAAGGAGTTGTTGAAAAGAATAAGATTTAGACACATTTCAGCATGGTTTCACGGTTCAGCAGGACCATACTTTAAATGGATCACATGACAGGAAGTCAATCATAGAAGCATAATCAAACTGTATGAAGAATCGGGAGTTAAAACCACATGCACACAGAAACACAAACATAGACACTCACGTCAGAGTTGAACCTCAGCTGGCAGACGTTGCATGAGATGACCTGTTTCTTCTTGGGTACCAAAGTAACACCAAAGGTGTGGTTGATGACGGCCTTCTGCACCGGGTCCATCTGCAAGAGGCACACGGAGGTCAGAGGTCAACAGCTTGCTCAGGATTGGCTGAACAGGGATGACAGAGTGAGGCTGAAAGAGTGACAGTTCCCTTTATCACAGTCGGTCTGTACTGCCGGAAGCTACAGCACCCTGTCACTGTTACTGTCCCTCACACACACACTCTTACCGTGTTGAAGTTTGGGAAAAGTCCGACCGGCGATGTTGTCTCGACAGGAAACGACAGGAATGGTTTCATCATCACTGAGGGACCAGTAGCGCCTATGAGCCCCGGCAATGCTCCGCCCACTGCACCACACCCACTTCCTGGAAACAAAGAGACAGAGACTTTGAATGATTTTGAAGAACTGAGCTGATGACACTATTGTTAAGTGCTCTTCAGTTCCTAAGGTGTCACTGGACATGATTGGCGGTCAATTTAACGTCAAAGACGGAGATGTCCTTTGAAAATGGCTCAACACATAGACAACACTTGGAAAAGACATGGCAGCTAGTAACTTAACTAACTAACTTTATGGAGTTCATAGAAAACTTTAATTGCTAGCTCCAAGCTCGCTCCAGAAGTTTCTGCTCCTTATCTCATTCCCATTTTTCTCGTTTGTATCTTTCTGAAAGAAAGTGGCTGGAGCCTTCTGTGATCTCACAGATGTGTGCTTTCTAGCCGAAATGATAAATTTTTTGCCTAGGGCAAAACCAATGTTATATAACATTTCTACAGACTGCACCACTCCGCTCTCGTCTTCTTCTTCAATGGAACGCACGTTATGTCCGCTCAGTCTGTGGAAGTATCGCATTTAAATAATGGTTTTGTCCAGGGAAAACATTTTATTATTCCAGGCAAACAGGGGACATCTGTGAGATTATGAAAATACCTTTGAAGACACAAACCGCTGCTGGATAACATAAAAAATATACAAGTGTATGTGGAAATACAGAGTAACATACGGAGTGCTGAGGTCACAGATGGGACTATATACATTGAGGCTTCAATAAAAACAAGTGTTATTATTTGCTGTTTTCAGATAAACCATTAGACTACAAACAATTTGTGTAAATGTAAGCAGGTCAGTAGATGTATCTTGAGCTGGTTCGTTAGCTTGAACCTCAACAAAGATATAGCCGAGTGATACAGACACTTCTTGGCACAGGCTCAGAAGAACAAACGGAGGAAATCCATCTCACTCTGATATTTATGTAATTTTAACCTGGAGATCTGTGCGGCAGGTCTGCTTTACAGTAACAACATGAAGAACATATGGAGCTGCAGGTGCTGGAGGCAGAGAGAGGTAATAATACAGAGAGAAAGTGAATGAGAGGCTCACATAATGTGTCCATGTGTCCAGTTGCCACAGGGGCAGTAAGATTTACTCTGTGCATCTCAACTCTCTGTCATCTTCATTTAAAGAGGCAGAGAGTAGAGACTACATTTACTCGAGCACCTAGTGGGACCCAAGGAGTCCAAATGAGGGGTTGTACACATCACGCCATACACGACTATTACAGAACAAAACGGCTCTAAAACTATAAATAAAAAAATGTATCATTCAAAAGGGAATTATTATAACCGTAACTATCTAAAATGCACATTTTGTGTAAGGAAAAGTAAGTCTGAATCCAAATTTAAACCTGCTTCCAGCAGTGTTTGTTCCCAGTTGCATACGAGGCGTTATATATACATACACAGTAAACACAGAGAGTAGATCTGATGAAGAAGAAACGTATTTCTTCTGTCCGTTTACGTTTATAGTCACAGCTTGTAGAAGCCCTGCAGTGAATTCTTTCATAACAGAGTGTGGGTGGAAACACTGAGAACAACTGAATCAGTCCTGACACAGGAGGAGGAGGAGGAGGAGGAGGAGGAGGAGGAGAAGTTTGGTCTTATTGGTTTTGTCCATCTGTTCAACGTAACTTAAGTAAACCCATTCTATCTCATTTGGTACACTATAAACCAGTCTAACTAATTCTATGTCCTCATTGTAACTCATTGTAGCCCATTTTAATTATACTTATCAATTGTAATGTATTAACCTTTTGTAATTATTCTAACCCACCATTGAAAATTAACTATAACCCAATTATAACTTATTATAAATACCCAATAGCCCATTATAAATATCATATAACTAATTCTAAACCAATGTACATTCCTTTAAACATATTATAAATTAACTATAACCCATTTTAACTCATTCTAAATGCATTCAAACTAAATCTAAATGTTTTAAAAGTTGATCTGTATAAACTGGACTGACAGGTCTGGTTTTGATTTTACATGTACCCAGACCAGGTCAGGTCAGGCCAGCTGTGTGTTTTCAGAATGGCATTAGGCTAGCTGTGGATTAACTGTGTACCATGCTGCTGCTCTCCGAGTTTATCCTCATATAGCAGAGCTGTGAGTCAGTGTCTGTATTTATCACTACAGCTCATTATTAAGTTCTAAACAGCATGACACAACACATTGCTGTAATCAAACACATGTAGCCTGACACACAACAGCTCAGATCACTGTCCGGATCAGCTGTTATTAGCTTGGAGATTATTTATGATAGTAAACACAGATTGGCATCTATTTTTAAAGATGGTTAAGTGTATCAGCTTGGCGAACCTGCCAAATTATTAGCTTCGTCTTCAATAATAGGGTCACAGTGAAGATGTAATGCTAGTAAACTGAACTCCTACAGAATGTCATTGGTAAAAAAAATAAATAAAAAATAAATAGGTATTTACTCGGATTGTGAAGAAGAAAAGTATTCAATTTACTATGTCACAGTTTGTATTCGCAGTATTTAGTATTTAGTAGCTGCCCAAGACAGTGTACTGAGTTTGATAGAAAGTTTTTATCGTATTATCTCAGTACAGAACATTAATATATTGTACACTAAATACTAAGATGAGACAACAATAGTATATAGTGTGTACTATAGGTCAGTATCCCTAAAATGTGTCTTTGGTGTCCTCTCCAGAATACCAGTTTTATTTTACTACACATATCAGTACAATGATAAGTAGATCAATAATAATGTTTTTCCATATTTTTATATCATTTTCATGATTAGATGTAAGCGATTTCATCATGTTCCCTGTAGCGTAAGTACAGGACATGCATTGCACCGGGGCCCAGCTGATAATAAGGGCCCACAAGGGACAGCAACAACTGCCCAGTGTCCGTGGGTGGGCACTTTCATGCCTTCACATATCACGTTCAGCAGTGACTAGTGGCACGGGCAGCATGGGACAAGAAAGTGGATTGGTTATACTAGAGAACAGCAGAGCGAGGAATTTGGACTTGAGCAGTGTTGCTAATGACTTTGCTGAGCGAAAGGCCCGTAGGATGAACTTCTGATGGGTGAGTACAGGTGTCTCTTTGCTATGGAGTGGGTTCAGGGATTTAAATTACGTCTCAAGTGTTAGAAAATGCGCACCGACTGTAATGTGTAACTGTGATAACATTTGGCTGATGATGAATGATGACTAATGAATTGTTTATGCAAGTGATTGCCTGATTAGATGCCGTCATCCATTCATTCATACTGTGTAGGGCCTATTATGAGTTGCTGTGCTTTTCTTGATCGCTATTTGTTCTGTGGTTATTGACATACTGTGTAAGCTACTTTGCGTTGATTTGTTACTGTAGGCTGGCTAAAGCTATTTCAGTTGTTTTTAATAGTCAGAGACAGCAGGTTGTGGTGGTTGGAGTCCAGAGCAGGCTGTTATATTTGCATTTATAGATTTGACCCGCGTTTAAAAAAAGCATGCTTTTTGGGGTGGGGGGCACAAAAAAAAGTATTTGCACCGGGATCGATGCATGTCCCTCAAGCTGCTCTGCTAACTTCTATGAGTGCAATTAGTGGTTAAATGATAAAACTAAAATGGTGGACATGTGCACATTTTGATAATGTTACAACAATTATTACAGTCATATTATAACAGTAGATGCTATACATATTTGGGGTGGGTAATATTGACTTTTTTGGTGATACAGCGATAACAGAATTTGTTCTGGTTAGCTCTCACATTAAGAGCACAAAGTTTAGGAGGGATGCAGAAACAGCCATTTGTCTTGAATGCTTCAGTTCTCCCATTTTTGATCTCAGCAGAGACTCCTATTTCTTATGATATCCTCATTTAGGTGATAAGAATTACTGTATTTAAGGTAGAAGCAGGAGTATGACTCAGATTCCGCTAAAATCACTATTCATACTCCTTCCGCTGCTTCTTTATGCAAATTAAAGCCAGCAACGCAGTTTAGAGTAATCTTTTCAACATGAACCATTCACAGAGAAACAATTTGTTTCCTGAAATCATTCAGAAATCCTGTTGTTTATTAAATTATGTCTTTGTTTCTAGTATCCATTAAAGCAGCACACTGTCCAGCCTGTCATGCCAATGAGAAAGGGACTAAATATCTTTTTGAAAATGTAGATTTTATAATCACTATGCAATGAAAATATTTACTCTGACTTTGTCCATGACAGGGTGGACATATTTTGTTGTCTGCTCATACGTTTTCTGCTTGCTGTGAATTAATGGAGCTTGACCAACATTGAATAAGAAGTTAAATTGAGAATCTTCTTTTGTGAAGTCTGAAAGGCACTTTATGGAGATAATGATCCATAGTATATAGGGTTTTTAAAAGGGTTGAATTTATAAACCTCTTGCAACTGTGGTTGACAGTTTAAGGAATTTGGGAAGTCACTAAACTTATTCAGAAGACATTTGAGCAGATTAGTTTACATAATACGCTACAGTTTGCTCAGTAACTTCATGTCGAGTGATTTGTAATCAGGTGTGCTGCTTTCCTGCTGAACTAGGAGGTGGAGGTGATCATGAGTGTGACTAAGGACTAACTACAGTACACCTCCACCAGCTTACATTTTGTCACTTTTATTAATTTGTAGGGTTCTTCTCCACGTTAAGCATTGTGTTGTGGGACAGAGAAACTCCTGAAAGACCACTGAAACTGCCTCAAGGATCGTCGGAATTACGGCCCAATTATGGTCCAGTGTGTAACATTTAGGAGGATCTATTTGCAGAAAAGGAATATAATATTCATAGGTATGTTTTCATTAGCGTATAATCACCTGAATATACAAATGATTGTGTTTTCATTGTGTTTTCATTACTTAGAATGAGCTATTTTTATATACAAACGCCATGAGTCACCTTCAGTGTTAACCACCATGTTTCTACAGTAGCCTAGAGCCAGACTAACAGAATACTGACTGTAAACAGGCCCTTTCACGAGTTTTGCAGCCACCGTAATTTCTCCTACACACTTTACAGCCAGTTTTCATTTCCAGTTCATCAAGTACAGAGAGCGCCTAAAACATCCATGAGAACCACTGGAAGTCCCTTCAATACCCTGGGCGCTTTTTTAAAAACTGAAATTTCACCATGACCCTTG